GTCCTCCTGTTCCTACCTTCCCCATTACTGTAGAGGGTAACAGCACCCTCCCAGTCCCTGACGCCTCACTATCTCTCACCCTCATAGCCAAGCTATTGCCAAGGCTGGCAGTTTCACCTTTGCACCTTCTTTTGAATACACCCCTTTCTCTTCCTTGACACTGGTACCACCTTGGTGCTGGCCTTCATCACCTCACAGCTGGACTACTGCAATAGCTACTGGTGGGTCTGCCCACCTCCAATTTTTCCCCATCCATCCTCCATTCAGACAGTAAAGTCCATTTCCAGTTCATCCTCCATTCAGACAGTAAAGTCATTTTCCTAAAATGCAGGTCCAACCATGGCACCCCCTTACTCAATAAACTAGTGGCTCCCTCTTGCCTCCAGGAGCAAACAGGAAATGCTCTGTTTGGCATTCAAAGCCCTTCATAACCTAGCCCCCTCCTCCAGTTACAATCTTCTTACACCTCACTCCCTAATACCTACTCTTTGATCTAGTGACACTGGCCTCCGACTGTTCCAGCTCTCAGCTCTGGGCATTTTCTCTGGCTGTCTCACATGACTGGAATGCTCTTCCTCCTTAGCCCTGCCTCCTGCTTTCCCCAGCTTCCTTTAAGTCCCAACTAAAATCCCACTTTCTACAGGAAGCCTTCCTTAACCCTTCTTAATTCCAGTGTCTTCTCTCTGTCAGTTATCTCCTATTGATCCTGTATGTAGCTTTCTTTGTATATATTTATTTGCATGTTGTCTCCCCCATTAGATTGTAAGCCCCTTGAGGACAGGGACTCTTTATTTTTGCATTCTCAATACTTAGCATAGTATTTGGCACTTATTGATTGATTGATGGTCTGAGTGAGTAGATTCCAAGATATTTCATACAATCTTACAGTTATTCTCAATAGGATGTGTCTATTCTTCTTGTTTTGGGGGTTTTGTTCTTAGGGATTCTTTTTACGGATATACAGAAAAGGTGATGATTTGTGTGAACTTAATGTATATCCTGCTATTTTACTGAAGTTGCTAATTTTAAATTCAATCACTAAGGTTATTTAAGTAAATATGTCATCTGCAAAAAGTATCAGTTTTTTACTTCTTCATGGCCTATATCTCTTCCCTTTTTTTCTTGTCTTATTTCTATAATTTTCATTTCTAGAACTATATGAAATAATAGTGGTGAGAGATGATGTCCGTGTTTTGTCCTCTCATTCTATTAGATGGGCCCCTTAACATTTCTTCATTACAGATAATCCTAACTCCTAGTTCTACGTAGCTGTTATTCACCCTTTTAAGGAAAAGTCCATTGATTCCTAAGCTTTCAAATTTTTTGAAATACAAATGTATGTTGTATTTTGTCAAAAGGTTTTTCTGCATCCATGGATATAATCATGTGATATTATTGGTTTCGTTATTATTTGTGGTCTATTGTGTTTAAACTTTCTTACTATCAAAACAACCCTTATATAAACCATTCCTCATATAAACCAACCTGATCATATCATTAAAGCTTTTCAGGATGGTGTTGTAACCTGTTTGCTAATATATTATTCATTATTTTGACATCAGTTCTCGTTAGGAATATTGGTCCACATTTTTCTTTTTATACTTTATCTCTCCCTGGTTCAGGCATCTGTTTTTCTATATTTGTCTCATAGAAGAAATTTGTTAGTTTCCCTCATCTCTCTAATTTTCCTGTTTTTGCAAACAGTTTATATAATATTGAAACTAATTGTTCTTTTTCATATTTGATAATATCAGCTTGATCCTAAGTTTAAAAAAAGACTTGGAATTTCCTTTTTTGGCTTCTTAAATTATTTTTCCAAGATCAGGTGAAAGTCTCCCTCCTCATCTTGAATAATTGCACATAGATAAATACGGAATCTTTTTACTCAAGGAGTACCAACAGATTAAATGAGATAAATACTTGTAAATCACTTAGTGCAGTGCCTGGCACATAGAAGGCACTTAATAAAAGCTTGTTGATTTCTCTTTCCCCCAAAGAATGCCAAAGATGGGATGTTCATCATGGAAGTTATTTGTGAAAAGAACATTAACAGAGTAGAGAGAGAATATTTCATCCAGAATCTCTTTAGAAAGTGGAATTCATTCTAAAAATGGATGTTGTACACTATCAGTAACAGGGAAGCCATTCACTCATTCACTCATTCAAAAAGCAAGGAACTAGGGATGTTCAGCTTGAATAAAAGAAGACTCAGGTAGGCTTCATACCTATGTTCAAGTATTTGAAGGGCTGTTATCTGGAAGAGGAATCAGGGTTTGTTCTTGTTAACCCTAGAGGGCAGAAACAGTGGCAAAAAGGCACTAGGATAAACTTCCTCATGATTCGAGCTGCCACAAATTGGAGTGGGATGTTTAGGGAAGTTGGTGGGGTTCCCCTCCTAAGAGGTCTTCAAGCTAAGGCTACATGGCCACACATTGGTTATGTTGGAGTGGGGATTCCTTATGGGTATGGGTCAGACTCAATAGCCTTTGAAAGGCTTTTCTGACACTACATGATTCTGTGATCCATTAAATTCTTAACTTGGATTTCACCAAACTCATGAAATCATAGGTCTAGTTAAGAAAAAAAAATATGGTACTGTTCTGGGCTCTGGGGACATCAGGAAAAACAATAACACCAACTGTGCAGTTCCTGCCCTGAAGGAGCTTACAGTCTAACTGAGGCAGAAGGATTCCTTGAGAGCACAAAGAAGTCAATACAAACACACACTAAATACATAGATACACATATGTGCACATGTATGCATATTATACATGTAGTGTGTATATATGTGTATGTGTGTCTGTATGCTTATTAATACAAAGTCATTTCAAGAAAGAAAGGACACCAGTTACTTAGGAAGGGGTTTGCATGAGGGCATACCTGAGTATGCATGAAGCAGTGGATGACCACGAACTCTACCTGGAATAGTAAGCATGAAGCACATCTTTATTTTCGTAGGGGAATGAGAAGAAGAGGGAGTGTAAGGTTTCAGGAGGGCTGGAGGGAAGTAGAATAGGTAATGAAAGATCTCCCCTACCCCAGTTTGCCATATGGTAGTTTCCTATTTTGGGGGCCACTAGGTGGCACCATAGTGCACAGAGTACCCTGCCTGGGGTCAGGTAGATTCATCTTCCTGAGTTCAAATCTGACCTCCCGCACTTACTAGCTGTGTGACCTTGGGTGAGTCACTTAACCTTTTTGTCTCAGTTCCTCATCTGTAAAATGAGCTAGAGAAGGAAATGGGAAACCACTTGAGTATCTTGGCCGAGAAAACCCCAAATGGGGTCACAAAGAGTTGGACACAACCAAAAGGATTAAACAAGCTTCCTATTTTAATTAAGTCTTCTTCCAAACCAGGTACTGAGCTACATTGTTTGACTTCATGGGCTATGAGTGACTTTAATTTCACTGCTCTGGGACAAAGCCCCAGCCACCCAGCCCTCATGAATGATTTCAGACCAAATCTCAGTGTCTTCATCTCCACACAGGTATAACCTTACGTGAAAAGCTAACAGATAATGGTTTAAATGTTCATAGGCTACAGCAGCTAAAACTTGAGTTTTGATCCAAGAATAGATGAAAACAAAAGTGTTTTCTTCACCAGTGAAATCATGGCTCAGAGTTGTCATTTCTCCTATATCTCTATGCCCTTTACTTGGTAACTGGGCATGGAATAAAAAAAGTTTGAAGAGAGGCCCATTAAATGAAATCACCATAGTTGGTTAAATTAAGGGAATTTATAACAGTTAGTGGAGGAGAGCTCAATGATGAAACTTTCATATAGGGGTTTTTTAATAGAATAAAACCATTTTTAGGATGAATCCACTTCTAATGAATCACCTACTCCAGTGATACAAATTCCAGTGATACAAAAATGGTGAGAGCCGATAAGGTAGAGAAAGGCTGCCCTGGCCCCAAGTGATTGGAGTTTGCAAAACATGAATGAGCAGAACATTGGTCTGAGCTGTCTGTTTTATGGGAAACTGGACTGTAAATGTTGATTTATGTAGGGCTTTGTGATGGAAAAAAACAGTGACTAGAGTCAGCAAATCTTCCCATCTGACTGAGCCAGGAAGTGGTCACTGACCAGACCAGGATAGGACAAAATAATGGGGGAATCTCTAAAAATACCCAGTAATCTATCTGTTTTCCTTCTATCTCTCCCCTCTTCTTATTTCCTTTCTTTTCTCTCTTCTTCTTTCCTTTTTCTCTTCTCTCACTTCTTTTTCTCTCTGCCCTATCCTCTTTGCTCCTTTTCTCACCTTCCCTCATCTCCTCTCTTTTTCTTTTCATCTCTACTTTCCTCCTCTCCTCCACTTTCATCTCTTTCTATTTCCCCCTCCCTCCTTTGCTCTCTTTGTTTCCCCCCTCTGTTTTCTCTTTCTTTTTCTCTAGATCCTTTCCTCTCCTTCTCCTCCCTTCTCTCTTTCTCTCCTCTTTCCACCTCTCCCTTTTCTCTCCCCTTCTTCTGCCTTCCTGTCTCTCCTTCTTTCCTCTCCTCTCCTTTCTCATTTCTCTCCTTTCTCTCCCTCTAGTCTCTCCTCTTTCTCACCTCTTTCTTTCTCTCTCCCTCTATTCTCTCCTCTTCTTCATCACTTCTTTGCTTCTCTCTCTCCCTCTCCCCTTTTACTTCTCTTGTCATCTTTCTACCTCTCTTCCTGCCTCTTTCTCTTGTCTCCCTCTCCCTAGCCCTGTCTTCTCACAGGTTTGCTCTTTCTCTTCCTCCCTCTCACCTCTCTCTCTTCCTGTCTCTCTACTTGTCTTCCTCCCATCTCTCAGCCTTCCTCTCTCTCTCTCTCTAGCTGAAAACACACTAGAATCAGACCAAATCCTGTTACCTTTATGAAGAATATGTTGTTTATTGCTTATCATACCTTTGAGAGGGTACAAAGAGAATCTCTCCTTTCCCAAGAAGTTAGCCACTTGAGTGCCATGGTTACAGCATCTAAGAGACATTTGTTTAAAGACATACCTCAAGCCAAGCTTTGGTGACACAACATTCTTGACTTCTAGACTCAGGAAAAAATGCAGAGCCCATTCCAATATGCCAGCCTGGTTCTTATCATCTTTGGAATACTGAGCATATTCTCTGGGATTTTTGCTTTCTTCCCAGTATTCTCCTGCAAGATTTGGTTCACCGGATGGAGTGCCCGGATCGCTTGTCCCATCTGGAATGGAGCTTTGGTAGGACTCACGTTTTATTAAATGTAATGAGACAGAAAGATCCCCACCTCCTGAAATTCTATATAATGTTCATAAGGTAAAATTGTGGTGAGTGCCACAACTGGAGATCATTGACTAAAATAGAAATATGTCATTCTTGTAATTACTGGCCTAATTGGATACTTCCATTTTATTTTATGCAGCAAATAATGACTGATTATTCCAGTACATCGGAAAAGCTGTTTGATTTATTCTATCTCTTTTTCCCCCTAAACAGATGCTCTGAGATATTCTTGGAATTTGTTTCCTGATATTTTAATTTTGAAAATATGAGGATAAACTTTGAGGAGAAAAAAAGTAATAAAAATAAGAGAGACGAATGCACACTGCTACAGTCCCACTGAGCATAATTTCATCTTGACTGGATGATTTGACTTGACTTTGAAGGCACTTCAAGATTTTACCTTGCTCTGAGGGGTGACGGGCAGTTGAAGGAATTTGGGATGTTTAACCTGGAGGAGAGAAGATTTAGGGGGATCATAATCGCTGTTGTCTAGTATCTGAAGGGCTTTCATATGAAAGATGGTTTAACCTTGCCCCAGAGAGGAGAATGGAGAACAATGAGGAAAAGTTAAAAAGAAACAAATTTCAGCTTGATATCCCATTTGTGGAGTGTTGAAGAGGGGACTGTTTTCCAGGCATGGTTTGGTCCCTTCCAACTCTGAAATGCTGTTATTCTGTTACAACAGATATCGAGTTTCATTGTACTTCTGAGTCATAGTGGCAGAAACACTCAGCTGGGAGAAAGGAAGCCTGGGTCACAATCCCCATTCTGCTACTAACTAGCTTTGTCACCTTGGGATTGTCCCTTTTCCTCTCTGGGCCTCAATTCCTTCATCTGTAAAATGGTCTGAATCATCTGGCAGCTAGATGCGGTGGGTAGACCTGGGGTCAGGAAACCCAAATCCAGCGCCAGATACTTACTGGCTCTGTGTGATCCCGGACATGTCACCTTTACCTTTGTCTGCCTCTGTTTTCTCAACTGCAAAATGGGGGAAATAATAACCGTTATCTCTTAGGGTTGTTGTGAGGATCAAATGAGTTAATATATACAAAGCACTGTGCAAATCTCAAAACACTATATAAAGTCTAGTTCTTATTATGCCCAGGACCTTGAACATAATGATAGCCAGAATAAGTAGGCACTTAATAAATAATTATGAGATTGAACATATGTAACCGAAGATTCTGAAGACATCTCCCTTGAGCTGCTATTCAGAGGGTGGGTTTATGAGTGGGCAAGGACAAGAGAAAAGGGAAGGGAACAAACATTTATTAAGTGCTTACTATATGCCAGGTCCTGAGGTATGTGCTTTAAAAATATTATCTCATTTAATTTAATTATCTCACAACAATCCTGGGAGGTAGTTGCTATTATTATCCCCATTTTATAGTTGAGGAAACTGAGGCATAGAGTGGTTAAGTGACTTGCCCAAGGTCAATTGCTAGTAGGTGTCTAAGGCTAGATTTGAGCTCTTTCTGACTCCAGGTCCAGCACTCTATCCACTCACCACTTCAATACCCCAGACCAGGACTTGGGGTGACAGGAATGTCCCTGAAATAAGAGATGGAAAAACAATCTCTACCTAGCAATTTTCTCTAGAACTAGTCCTGCCAATAAGAAAATATGGCAGTTCCTAGCTCCCTTCTCCTTCTGACCACTTGGGGTCTATCCTTCACCATCTGTTTAATCATAGCCTAGGTTTTGCATATCCCTCATGATGTCTATCATAGAGCCCTGTATACAGTAGACAACAAATAGGTGTTGATTCACAAAATCATAATCATGACCTTCTAGGTCATCGCTTCTAGTCCCCTCCTTTTACTATTGAAGAGAAGCAAAAATGACTTGCCCAAGGTCATACAGCTAGTTTGTGTCCAGAGCCTGGGCTAGATTCTTTATTCTTCACTCTTTACACAACGCCACATAACCTTTATGCATCGTACGATCTCCAGCCTTATCTCCTCTCCTCTATCCTGCCTCCATTTAGAACCCTTTGCCTAAATCCCTTGTTACTTATGGAACTTTGCCCACCTTTGTTTCTGGACCATCTATGTGAATCCTCCCATACTACCCCTCCCCACACATAAACACAACACAAACTTTCTCCTCTTCACTCAAGGAGACTCCTCTATTCTTAGTGTAAATAAAGCCTAAAAGCTACATACCAGCCTACATTTCTAATAAGCCAAGGTTGAGGAGGGGGTGGAGAATGGGGGGTCATACCCCAAAAAGAATTTCGCATGCTCCCTCTTTCAATGACGTCTCATTTTAACAGTCTGACCTTGGCCCTAATGAGTCCTCTATTGAACTCCCTTTTAAAAGACACCCCACCATTTTGACAGCTTTCCCTTCCTATTATCACCTGCTGATCTTGACTTCAAAAACGCCTTTATTGACATTAAGTATACATTTCTATTATGTTGATTTTGATTTTTGCCAATGGATCACTAACCTCTTCATGGACAAGAGGAGGCAGGTTTAGTATTTCAATGTTTTGTAATCTCTTGTTGAAGGATCTGTAAGCCCCTGTCACAAATATTGGTCCTTACATTTTCCCCATCTCCATCAGACAGGTAAGAGTAACTGATATTTATATAGGGCTCTAAGGTCACAGAATCAGATTTAGAGCTGGAAGGGATAATCCCTTCATTTTACAGATGAGGAAACTGAGGCCTGGGGAGGCTAAGTGACCTTGGTCAAGGTCATATAAGGAACAATGGCAGCAGTGAGTCTGAACTCAGGTCTGTTGACTTGGGAGCTGGTGGTCTTTTCCCTGTGCCATATAATATCTCAGAGAAACCCTATGAAGTAGATTTTATTTTCTCTACTACAGATATCATATTCCTATTTTACAGGTGAAGAAAGTGAGGTTCAGAGAGAGTAGATGCCTTACCCATCATGAAATAGCTAGTTAGGGTCAAAGTTCTCTGAACGCTTCACACATATTGGGTTTTCATATCTTTGTTCTGCCCCGTTGTATAATCAAAGTCCTTTCCCAGACTCCTTAAACTAGGCTATAGGAAAGATCAGTCACTGAGAAACAGGCTGCAGGGAGAAAATAAATAAAATCCTGAAATCTGAGCTTTAGGCTGGACAGAGGAAACCTGAGCTAGTCCAAGCTCACTGTGGGACTTTTCTCTCTTTTTTCTTTACCGAGAAACTGAGGTGCCAAATGCTTAATATGCTAGCTAGCCAACTGAACCAGGATATTGTAAGAATTAATGAAGCAGTGGGTCAGGTTCTCCCGGTGTCAACTTGTACTTGGAAGCTACATTAATTTTTATCACATTGTCATTGAGGATGCTTAAGCTGTAACTTAGTAACCAAGTGGCCTAAATGAGTTAGTTATTTGAGGGGGTGGGAAAAGAGAAATAGATAGAGATGAGGAGTCTAGATCATTAGCTTCATTAGCATAAGGAATCTTTATTGTGGAAATTCTTTATATCAATGCAGATCAGAAACTTTTGTGCAATTTGTGGTCTTAGAGAGTCTTTTGGGGGCATTGAAAAGATTAAGTGACTTGCCCAGGGTCACATAGCCCTTATGTGTCAGAAGTAAGTTGGAACTCAGGTCTTCCTAACCCCAAAGTTTGCCCTCTAGCCTTAATGCCATACTGCCTGTAGAAAGAGTTAATCCAAATCATGAAAGGCAGCTTCTCCCCAAATTGTAGTTTAGACCCTGGGAAACTGATTACACCATTCTGGGAAAATGCTTTGAGTTCTTTTGGGGGTATTGCGGCCATGCAAACCCCAAGTTACCATATTTACTCTGATAATTCCCCATCACCACCAGTCCACTTTCCCCCACTAGCTAAAACAATGATGGGGTATCTGGTGGGAGGAAGGGATTAAACAAACATTTGGGTTCTGTGGCCCCCCCAGTGACCTTCATTAAGTGAATCTTTGGGATTCTTAGCCCTTTTTCACTACAATAATTTCCTCAGAATCACACAGCAACAAGTGTCAAACTGAATCGAACTTAACAATGCCTAACATTCCTTCCTTCCTTTCAGCAATTCCTCTTAGTTCCATGTGAAAATTGCCTTCAGTGAGACTTTTTGTGTCTGGGAGAGAAAGAAAGAAGGGAGAGGGAGATGATTTACAGCTGATTACAAGTTGGTGTTTGTTTTACTTTTTTTTGGCTTTCCATTCCTTTCAAGTTTCAAGTTTGGAGCTTAACTGCCTTTGACCCAAGGAAACCAGGATTGGGCAGCTGCTCTAAACCCAGGTCATTGCTGCCTTTCCCACCCTCCAGCCCCATTCCCACCCCCACCTCACGGGCTCGGGGTTATGTTAAAGGAACAGAACCTGTGCTCACAACTCTGGGGAGGCAATAAGGAGACAATGTAAGGATGAAATGAGTGAGAGGCGAAAGGACAGTAAGTGAGGGCTGCCTGCACAAAGTAGTAATGCTTCCCAAGTAACACTCTAAAGTAGAGACCTTTCCCAGCTCAAGCAACTATATCAAAACTATCCCATGTCCCAAGTTACCTTTTTTTTTTTTTTTTTTTTTTAGCAAGCTGACATTAATCCAAAAGCTGGATCTCTGCTCTTGGGTTAATGGTTGCCAATGGTGGATTAATACGTTACTTCTTCCACATAACACATTCAGCGATTATCTTTTAGCCATTTAGTGGGAGCTGCCTAGGGAAATAATGCTGAAACCCAAAAAATGGCACAAAAAAAATTTCTGGCAGGCCAATGGAGGAAGGAATCTTTGACAGCCTCTCAAGTCACAGTGTGTAATTACTCACCTGCTTTGTCTGCTCCTCGGACCAGCTTGCCTTTTATCCAGGTGAATAAGGCAAGAGTTAAAATGTGATCTATGGGTGAACAGCAGGCAGACTATTTGTTTGGAATGTAAAGTGAATGAAGGGGAGTAAGGAGATATGTCTGGAAAGATACACTGGCTAAACAAATTATGGGCTGCGATAGTAATAGAATACCTCTGTGCCATAAGAAATGATGAAAGGGATGAAACCTGGGAAGACTCATATAAACAGATTCAAGCGAACTGAACAGAACCAGGAGAGTAGCCAACACTGTAATGACAAAGAACTTTGAAAGACTTAACAACTCAGATCACTGCACCAGCCACCATTCCTGAGGACCAGTGATGCTATTTACTGCCCACCAGAGAGATGATGGATACAACGTGCACAAAGAGACACACAGTACATTTTAGGACATGGCCATAACCATGAAGGAATTTATTTTGTTTAGCTATGCATATTTGTTACAAGGGTTGGTTTGTTTTTTCTTTTTCTTCTTTTGATTGGGGAGGAAAGACTGGAGGGTGAGAAAATAAAAGCTTGTTAATTCAAATTATAGAAAATGACCATCTCCAATAAGTGAAAATTAATATCAGTATTAATGATAGTGATATATATGTATATATGTGTATATACGTATTTATGTGCATATATGTATATGTGTGTATGTGTATATACATATATATATATAGCCTCTATTTCTCACTCATATTTATTCCTTAGGAGGCAGTGGGGGTGGGGGGGAAGGAACAATGGGAAGATCACTGACTCTGAAATCAAAGGAACAAAGTTCAAATCCTGCCTGGGATGCTTACTACCTGGAGCATGAGCAAATTGTGTAACTTCTCTGTGCCTCAGTTTCCTCATCTGCAAAATGAGAGGGTTGGATGGTATCTGAGGTCCCCCTGGTACTCAATAGCCTATGTTTTCATCTCCCCTTACTGATACCTTTCTGACATAGAGTTCCTCTGATTCTTCCCGTCTCTCTGCAATCTAATATTTCTTCTCCCTTCACCCCCTAGAAAAGAAACATAGTTGGAAAAGGGGGAAATTTCAAGTGCAGGGTGAAGTAGGGGGCCAGTCCATGCTCTCCCCTCCCATTCTCCCATGCTAAAGATGGTGGGCATGCTTTGCCAAGTCCTCCTGCACCATCCACAAGGCGGATTTTACAATTTCATAGCTGCATTCCTGTTGCACCCTCCTCCCTGAAAGGTCTTTTTCAGAGTTCTATATAAACAAAGTAAAATTCAAGCTGGAGGCAACCCTCACAAAAATACCAGGCCACAGTAAGCAGACAGCATTCTCCAGCTTGAGAAGGGAAGAGAAGGCAGTATGAATGCCAAAATAGTTAGAGGAAATTGGAAACTGATTGTCCAAGAGTTTTGACTCTCTCCTCTAAGGGAAGCCAAGGGGGGGGGGGGGGATCAAACCTCCTCAACTGGTATCCCACTTCAGATTTTCTTTATTCAATTAACCACATGTACATCAAGTGTGAACTGAGGTCCTCTTCCTTTGAAAATACTGGTTGTAAAAGAGTTTGATCATGGTCCTCCAGCCCGAGATCACTATAACAATGGCTCTTGATCACACTTGGGTTTTGGGGTTGTTTTATTTATGCTGGCCAGATCTTATAGGGTCCCTGGAAACCTTTCCAATTGCAGAACACTCACGACTACAGATGGTTCAGTTTTTATCCATGGGATCTTTATAGGATGGCCATGCCAAGATTGAATTTTCAGGCTCAGCTACATGAGGAGGCTTAAAAAAAATTCTGCAAATTCTTCAAATCCAAAATTCAAAACGAAACATGCCAGGAAAATAAAAATTTAGGTCTCAAAACAATAAATCTGCCAGACCTGGAAAGAGTCAGTCTACAAAAGCAGCAAGCCACAGAACCAGCTTGGGCAACGTCCTGGATTTCCTTTTTCCTTAAAATTGTTGATACAATGTGTAGCGCCACGTCGATCTGTCCAACAGAGGCCCATGTGGTACCATTTTTAGACCTGCTCACATTCTAAATCTTGTTCCAGGCACAACTCTTCCCGGGGTCCTCTTTCAACCACAGAACATTCCATGACACATTATTTGTAAGTTGGGAAGAAATAGTCTCAAGCCTGACTGACCACAGAGCTCCCACTCTTCATACCTGGTACTCAACCCAACCAAGGACCTGGCAAGATTTCTCAACGACTCTTCCTTGCTGAGCTCTGATGCAACCTTTCACTTTGTTGTTCAAAGAACTCTATCCCGCACACCAGTCTTTCTTCCTGCTGACACAGAATACATGGATTCCCCTTCTAAGGCAATGGCATCATTGAAGCTAAAACAACAAAATCTCCATCCTGAATTGATTTTCATGGCAGATCTTGATTACATGAGAAAGAGTCCCCTAGTCTGTTATACTACCCTAACCCACAGAGGCTACAGAGTTCCTTAGAGAACAAAAATGGAAAAAACTATCCTACCGTTACTTCTTGGTTCTGTATTCTCTAACAAACTTACTTATCTTCCCGGGGAATAACGATACTAATCGTTACACTAATCAATACAAAATACTAATCAATATAAAACATGATGGCAGTGGGATATAGGGGAAAGAATGTGAGACTTTGAAGTTAAGGGAGACCTGAGTTTATGAGATCAAATCCCTTGCCCTATCATCAATTGGTCTCTCTGAAGCTTATTTTTTTAGTCTGTAAAATGGGACTAATAATATCCACAATACCTACCTTGGGCAACTAGGTGGTGCAATAGATAGTGGCTCATCTTCCTGAGCTCAAATCTGTTCTCAGACACTTACTAGCTGTGTGACCCTGGGCAAGTTACTTAACCCTGTTTGCCTCAGTTTCCTCATCTGTAAAATGAGCTGGAAAAGGAGCTGGCAAATCACTCCAGTGTTTTTGCCAAGAAAACCTCAAATGGAGTCATGAAGAATTGGACATGACTAAAAATGAATCTTCATCATCGTCATCATCATCATCATCAACAACAACAATAAATATCTACCTCACTGGGCTGTTGTGAGGGTTATAGCATCACAGACTTCAAGGTAGGAGGATGCTTTAGGGAACATCTAATCTAGTCCCTTCTGAGGCCCAGAGGCTGCAGATCAAATGAAATTATGTATACAAACAATTTTGCAAAGCTAAAAGGATTAAGAAAGGCAACTTGACATAATGGATAGGAGTCTTCAAGTCCTACCTCTGACCCAAACTGACTGTGTGACCCCAGGCAAATCGCCAAACACCTTAGGCAACTCAATCATTCAATCCACAAACATTTATTAAATTCCTACTATGTGCCATAGATCGAGGCTAAGTCCTGGGGATGCAAAAAACTCTGTTACAGATGAGTTTCTACTCCACACCAATGGAAGGTTTGTTCACACTGGGAGTTCCCTACAAAAAAAGGATTCTATGAATGTCCATGATTATTGTATTAAATTAATATAGCAATAAAATTAAATCAATACATTAATAAAAAGAATATTGATAAATTAATTTAAAAGGTTATAAAGTAAAATACATGCTATCTTGCTTAATTGCCATAGAGGTAGTAACCATCCTACATGGGCCACTTATTTCCTGAGTGACTTTCTCAGTTCCATAATCTGTACAAATGAGAGGGCTGTACTAAATGGCCTCTGGGTTCACTTTCATATCTAATAATAATAACAGTTGACATTTATATGGTGCTTTAAGATATGCAAAGTTATCTAGGGCTGTATCCCAAAGAGATCATACAAATGGGAAGAGGACCCAGATGTACAAAAATATTTATAGCAGCTCTTTTTGTGGTGGCAAAGAATTGGAAATTGAGAGGATGCCCATCAATTGGGGAATGGCTGAACAAGTTGTGGTATATGAATGTAATGGAATACTATTGTGCTATAAGAAATGATGAACAGGAAGATTTCAGAAAAACCTGGAAAGACTTGTATGGTCTGATGCGGAATAAAGTGAGCAGAACCAGGAGAACGTTGTACACTGTAACAGCCACATTGTGCGATGACTAATATTGATATTAACCCTTCTCAGCAATACAAAGATCTAAGACATCTCCAAAGGTCTCATGATGGAAAATGCTATCTACATCCAAAGAAAGAACTATGGAGTTTGAATGCAGATCGAAGCATACTATTTGCTATTTTTTTTCTTCTGTTGCATTTTGTTTCCTCTTTCTGGTGGTTCCTCCTAGGTTCTAATTCTTACTTACAACATCACTAATGTGAAAATATATTTAATACAAATGTATATGTATAGCCTATATCAGATTACAAGCCATCTTGGGACGGGAGGTGGGGAGGGAAGGAGAGAAAAATGTAAAACTCAAAAGCTTATGGACGTGATTGTTGATAAATCAAAATAAATTAATTTTAAAAAAGATATGCAAAGTTTTTTATATATATATATTTACATACATACATGAATGTATATTATCTCATTATATTTGAACCTCACAATGACTCTGGGAGGTAGGAACTATTACCATCACCATTTCACAGACGAGAAAACTGAAGCTGAGCGAGGTTAGGTGACTTCCCCAAGACCTCACAACTAAGTAAATATCTGGGACAGGATTTGAATTCAGTTCTTCCTGACTCCAAGTCTGGCACCCTATACATACTGCCTCCTAGATGCCTCTGTGTTTATGAGCTTAGGATCCTGGTGAACCAGGAAGTGGCCTTCTGTCCCTATAGGAACTATGCCTTTACCACAAGGATGGTTTATTTCACTCCTCACCACAGGATTCTTAAATACACATCTCTTGTTTGGCTGTTTGCCATCTGTAGCCCTTTCTGGCACATGGTAGACCCATCATGCCATGAGATGAACTGAATCCTTTTTAGTCATGAACTCATTCACTGACATTTTTCCTCTATTTTTCTTCTTATAGGTAGTTATTGCTGGCATTCTTGTCCTCTGGGCTCACAGAAAGCAGACACAAAGATCTCTGGTAAGTGTACAGGTGTTTACTATGGAGTGGTTGGGGATGTCAAAACCATAGAGCTATAAAAGACCTTGGAATCCATCTTGTCCAACTCTCCACCCATTTTAAAGATGTGGAAACCCAGGTCCAGCAAGATTAATGACTTTTCCATGACCACCTAGGGAGTAAGTAGGAAAGGCAGGACTTAAACTCAGGTGCTCTGACCCCTACCCAGTGCTCCACCTTTGGGATTCCTTCTAATGTCCAAAGGTGGTTCATTTTTTTAAAATCACCCTCCTAAAGATAAATCTTCGATCTTCAAGGGAAGAAGAATTCTGTTCATTGAATCTGATAAACTGAGGGTTAGCTCAGAAATCTTTATTTCAACCATTGACTCTGAAAGTCTTGCACGAATCAATCTACTTTACTGCCTCTTTGAAATAAAAGTAGAACATTAAAGAAAAAAAATAGTAGGATCATATAAGTTGGCATTACAAAGACAGGGTGTAGAAATGCCCCCAAATTGGAAATGTGGATAAAATGCCCATAGTGAATTTCTCCCTTGCACTTTATTTATGCCACAGAGGGGAATGACTTTTCCTGAGGTCATCATTTTAAGCTCAGTGAATGTAGGTTCATGGAATCATAGATTCAGAGCTAGGAGGAGCCTCAGAAGTCATCTTTTGTAACCCCCTCATTTTATGGATGAGAAAACTAGGGCTCAGAGAAATTAAACAACTTGCCCAAGATCAATGAGGTGGTGAAGCAGATAGAACACGGGGCCTGGAGTCAAGAAGACCCAAGCTTAAATTGTGGCAGATGACAGATGAAATGATTGAGGAAACAAAGGTTCAAGCTTCTGAGCATATCTATTTATTAAGCAGTGCATACCAATTGGGCAACAAATCAGGACTAGGCCTCCTCAGCTTAGGAATGGACCTCGAATAGGGGGAAACAGATTTTTATTCATTAAAAGTAATTAATCAAATAAAGCCAATTAATTAAAAGAAAACCGTTAACCAGGATATAAAATTAGGTAATCTGATTTCTAATTGGAGGAAAGATTAGGGACTTTCCAAATTGGAAGGGGGAAAGTGAATAGGTGAAATTCCTTGAAATAAAAAAAAAAACAGGTGTCCCACTCCCCCCAAGTGTCAGTATTCAATAACTAATAACAATAATTAATTAACCAGTATAGGCCAGTTTTCACATAAGACATATGTGTCTGCTTGAGATGTATAATGGTGAGAAAGCTCTTTGCATCCATCTTCAGATCTGGCTGCATTTCTGGTCAGCATAACATAGGTCTTTAGTTAAGGGTCTCTAGGTAGCAGGTCGAGGGGTCTAGCTTCCCAGCCACACAGGGCCAGGTTTTCTCACAATTCCCACAATTGAGTAGTTTTCTGACAAGACAGAAATTGTATTAGACTCACAATTGAGTAGAAAGTGAACCAAGCTAGATTGAGTCACAACATGGAGTCAGTGTGGTTCACCCAATTCCCACTACCACTTGAAGTTCTAATCTCCTCAAATTCCTTCAAAACCCAGCTTCTGACACTTACTAACTGTGTGACTCTGGGCAAGTCACTTAACCTCTGTTTTCCTCAGTTTCTTCAACTGTAAATTTGGAATAATAACAGTATCTACTTGCTAGGGTTGTTATGAGGATCAAATAATATTAGCAAAGAACTTACAAGGGCGCCTGGCACATAATAAGCACTAGATAAAAGCTTATTTCTTTTCCTTTTCCTTCCCCCAAGATCTCAGAGTAAGAGAGTGATAGAGTCAGAATTTAATTAAATCCAGTTAAAAACACATTTAATGCCTACTGTTTTAAGCACTAAAGAAAATCCAATGTAAATAACACATATTCCTTGTCTTTAAAGAGTCTGTAATCTGGTAATGGAGATAAAATATTAGACACAGCAAAATGGAGTGAAGAGACTGGATTAGGTGATCAATAAGATCCCTTCCAACTATGATCCTGTAAATAACTAGAAACAAATATCAGAGAATGTTCTAAGTACCTAAGAGAAGTATATTCAAAAAGTCAGAGAAGTTCAAAGAAAGTACAGATAGTCCTAGCTGGATGTTACAAGTAAGATTTCATGGTATAGATTGTAGCTGAGCTGAGTTTCAAAGGATGAGCAGGATATCCATTGATGGAGGGCATTTTAAGGGCCATGTATGCAAAAACATGGAAGGGGTAACATACAAGGTTTGCCCTGGAAACAAGGAACAGTCCATCTGATTTGGAGGAGAGGGTATGCCACATATAGAGTAAGTAAGCAGCTTGAAAGGGACAAGCCAAATGATAGATATTAAGCTTGCCCTTCATTCAGTAGGCAATAGGGAGCTATTGGAGGATGGTGAACAGGGGAGTGAGATGATTAGATCCACACGTGCAGAAGATTAATTAATTATGTAAAGGTGTATAGGATGAATACAAGAATCTAACTTTTTCAAATAAGTGTTTTTCTTTCAAACTTCTTATCTATTCCTTACAGTTTCCTGTCATATGATCATAGTTTTTCAGTTGAAAGGGACATTAGACCTAGTCTAATCCCCTATTTTTACAGATGAGGAAACTGAGGCCTATCGAGGTTAAGTGACGTTATTCACTGTTATTGAGTCAATATGTCAGGAAGCTGTTAACTTCATAGACATGGTAACTTTCTCCACCAATGCCAATTCAAGACTGCTATCCATTTACAACTTACTAGATAAGTCTTAAGAGAGTCACTTGAAGCTTAAAGAGGTAGAATTTGAACTCGGGTCTTCCTAACTCCAAGGCCAGTGCTTTCCCAAGTTGCACTACTTCTTCTTTCTACAAGGGCACAAGGAGGGAAGTGTAGGACACCTTTTTTTGCTTCCATGTCTATTAGAGAGAGCTGGAGCCAGGAAGACCTGAATTCATGACCTACCTCTGACCCATACTGTCTATGTGACCCTGGGCAGGTAAGTCAGCTCACCTCTAGGCATTCTAGGCAACTCTTTCACACTATAAGTAGAAGAGGAGATGCTGAACTGTAGTAGTAGAGGGACTTTCCTCATCTGGGAGTTCCCTATTCCAGTGATATCAAAGGTCTAGTCCCTACCCTTATCATGCCCATATTAATATTAGTGTATCTTCAAGACTCTGCTGCTCAGTGGAATGACTCCCTCCATTGTCTTCCTTGCCCCAAAGAGTAGTGATGCCACCACCCAGATATTAGGGTGAAAGCTCCACAGAATGAAGAAGCTATCTCTCTCTATCTTTGGCTGAAAGTAGCTTTCCTCTCTTATCTTTGCTGGCTGCCAAGCTGCTAATTGAAAAGGAGAATACAAAGGTCTGGGAAGGAGAGAATGAACCTCTTGCCTTCCCATGACTAAGAGGAAGGAGGAGAAGCCAGGATGTTTTATTTCATGTTTACCATGAAGATTTGGAAACAATCCCCATGAAAAATAACAAACAATTCCTTTGTCTCCTTTTCAGTGGGAAGCTAGTTTCACCTTTGCCATCCTGAGTGTCATTGGATGCCCACTTCAAATGGCAATTGCTATACAATCTGCCTTTCTGGGGCCATATTGCTACTACTCATTCTCAGGAATTGCTGGAACCAATTATCTGGGTTATGCAGTGATGTTTCCTTTTCCTTATATGAGATACCCATCAATATGTGTGGATCCACCCCACTATGAAGAGTACCACCTGATTCTACAAACCCTTGACCTGGCTTTTGGTTTGGCCATGCTCTGCGCATCTCTGGTTGTGCTGGTCAAGCTTTTCTCGAGGCTCTTCCATTTTGGAGAGTTAAATGTAAGTCCTCAGAAACAATGGCTCCATTCAGGAATAAGGAGAAGATAAACATACTGCCCTCTGCCTAATCAGATCCCAAGTGGATGACCATATTTGGTTCTGGGCACCACAGTATAGGGAAGACATCAATGAGCTGGACAACGTCCAGAGCAGGGCATGTACAATGGTGAAGGACCTCAAGTTTTTGCTGCATCAGCCAATGAATCAAGAATTTATTAAGCACCTATTCTTTGCCAGGTGTTAGGAATACAAAGACAAAAAAACCCAAAAAAACAGATCCTGCTTTCAAGGAGCTACTGCTCTTTAGGGAAAGACAGAATGGACACATGTAAGTATATATAAATATAAATAATTTACAGAGAGGGGAAGGCATTAAGATATATTGGTGGGACTGGGAATATTTTGCCTGGAGAAGAGAAGGCTCAGGGGCACACAATAGCCCTCTTTAAGGATTAGAGAGAAAAAGGGATTAGATTTGCTCTGCTTGGTCCTAGAGGGCAGAACTAAAGGGAAAGGTTGGAAGTCACAAAGAGACAAATATAGATTTGATGTCAGAAAAAAAACAACTTCCTCCAAATTAGAGCTATCTAAAATGGAATGAGGTCCTCCACACTAGGTAGATAGATAGATAGATAGATAGATAGATAGATAGATAGATAGATAGATAGATGTGGGTGTGGGTGTGAGTGTGTATAATAAATTAATCTTCCTATTACAATGACCTGATCCCATGACTTCCATGTCCAAAACCCTTCACTGGTCCCCCAAAGTCAGGATCACCCCTGGTAAGCCATATTGTACTGGGGATACTTTGGGGAATATGATTTGGATAATTTAGGCCCTGAGGTTCCCTCCAGTTCTGCAATCCTGTGTTTCTCTCCAGGTTCCATTCTTAATGAATGAAATTAATTAATGGCCCACTAGGAGGAGGCCACATATCCAGTGACATGTGTTGACATGATGGCTAAAGGTACAGCCATAACTACCATAACTCAATTCCTGATTATGTCCAAACTCTTTGGTCTCTAAAACCAACCATTGAAGAGAAATCCACAGCTCTGGAAAAGCTAGAAGGGCGGGTGGGCTAGCTGCCACTGGATTACTCCAGAAGTTTGGCTTTCCTAATGGAAATATTGCTAACATTAGTCAAATGCAGACATCTTCATTCAGATCCTCCCCTTTGGAGCTCAGGAGAGTGTAAACAGCATATGCTTTTTGGCTGGAGAGTAAAAGAAACCCTCCCGGACTTTTCTCTCCATAGATGATGAAGATGACGAAAAGCGCTCAGCCACTAACATACCCCACAAACCGTCAAGTTAATTCAACCAACCTTCCATGACCTCCTACGATATGTGACACATTTTGGGGTGGAGGGGAGGTGGTCACAGTAGGGGAGTTTGTGTATTCCCACTTCAAACAAGTTTGGAGAGGGAAGGAGGTATGAAAAGAACAGGAAGAGTGACTCCCCCCATTTCTTTCCCACTACTCCTTCCTCATCCTGTGACTCATATCCCTTCCCTGATGGCTTCTCACTCCCCTAGCTAATGGAAAGAAGAGGTAACAGGAGGCTAAAAGAAAAGAATTTCAGAAGCAATGGTGAAATTTATGTATTAAAAAGAGAAGTTTCAGATGTGATGATGAAATTGAAGTACAAAATATTCCCAGCTCCCCCAAGAAGAACTAGAACTTCATTCCTCTTCATTTTAAACTATAAGTTCCCTGAAGGCAGAAACTATCTCACTTTTATACTTGTATGACCAGCACTGATTGCACAGCATGGCACATAGTAGGTGCTCAATATCACTTGGTGATAGGTGATTCTTCCACACATTTTTGACTACTGACTTTAAAGAAATACAAAATTATGCTTCTTGAGAAGGCTGATGGAACTAATCTATCCTGGCTTGTCCCTTCCTTCCCCATGCTAGACTATTCCTTTTGGGAGGCTGCAGTTCAAAGCTCTCTTCTCTGTCCTTCTGGTCAGCCCTCCCTGCCCACCCCTACTCCCCTAGGCAATACATTATCTCATTTGATTCTCCCAATAGCCCTACAAGCAGCTAGGGTAATTGTACAGAGCAAAGTCCAGAATGGATTGGACAGCCTTACACTCATTCTGGCATTTCATTTATGGGAATACCATGAAATTGGGAGGAAGAGCATTTGGAGGAGAGTTAAGGTTCTGCTAGAGAAATTTTCTTATTCAAGTCTGTAGGGATTTGAGGCTCATGCTTGCTCATGGAATCCCAGAATCCAATATGGAGAAGGGGCCTTGGCAGACAGCCCACTTTTAAGAAAGACTCCCCTCTATAACATCTGAGACAAGTCCAGCCTGTCCTTGAAGACCTAAAGAGAGAAAGAACCCATGGCCTCCTGACATAGCCCTTAGGGCTTTTAATTAGGAAGTTTTTTGTCATGTAACATTGAGCCTAATCCTGTAACCTGTAAATTCCATTCACTGTTCTGGATTCTACCCAAGGAGAGCAAGGTTAACGGATCTGAGACTTGACAACCATTCACCCAGCTACCAAAGCTTTCTCTCTCTCCTCCAAGCCGAGTATCTCCAGGTCCTTCAAATGAGACTCAAATGGCCCAGTGGGCAAAAACTCATCCGAAGCCCTTAGGGAGAGGAAAATCCACCTGGGGTGCAGTGGCCAGAGTAAAGAAGTGAACTCGCTGGTAACTTCCTATTTTACCCAATTACTTTTACTTACCAGGTGCTGCATTCTGCTGGTTTTGAGACTACTGTGTTGCACCCCTGGCAAGGCTCTGATTGGTCAGTCCTAGTTATGGCTCTTGCAGCCAAAGGCTACTCATAAGGCTAAGCCTAGAGCTGGATCTTAAATCTAAAGCTAGGAGGTGGCTGGGCGGTCATTAGGTCCAACCCTCTCATTTTGCAGATGAAGTCCAGAGCCGATGCTCTTTTCACAGTCTACCCCTGGGTGGTCAGTTACCTGGGGTGAGAAATGAGGAGAGCTAGAAAAAAGAGACAAATTGAAATGGAAGGACAACTCTTTGTGGAGCTGGGTGTCTACCAGTAAGGATTATTGCACATAATGTTGGATTCTTTCAATGTGTTGATTGGTTTTGCAGAATTTGTTTTCACATCTTTTTCTTTATTAGAAAAAAAAAAGTCCATAATGGTTCTGGGAGTTCCTATCTACCTACTTTCCTCCAGGAGGCAGGAGGGAAAGGGATACAGGGGAAAATTGAGATGATGTCAAAAAAAAAGATATCAATAAAAATATTTTTTAAAAAGAAAAGGGAGGAGGAAATAGAGAAAGATGAAGTCAAAATGGAGCAAATTCATGGTTTTTCCTTAGGGACAGCTTGAAGGTTTCCTGTCACTGTAGGAGTGAGTGAGAACTGGGTTCAGGGTGATTCTCAGGCAGGTATCTATGCTGATCCTGCTAGGGGGAATGCTGGGATAGCACCCCTGCTTTGTAGGAATGATGCTTTCTCCCAGTCCAGGTTCCTCTAAGAACAACCATAGGACGACCAGCCGTGGTTGGGTGACAGATCCCACTGTCTCTTAGCAAGTAGCATGCCCTCGGCGTACATATGTTTTTAGGGTAAGACAGCCCAGAATAATCCATAATGGCAGAGCATCATGTTACATTAGCAAGGATGAGCTGCTGATGGAAATGAATTATGACATTTTGTGCTAATAAAGACAGCAAGGTCTGGAGCCCAGGGGAAGCATGCAGAATCTGAGCATGTTCAAAGCCAGGATCCAAAAATATTTTGACAGGCTATAACACTAGACTAGACCAAAGAAGATGAAATTTAAAAGGGATGAATGCAAAGTCTTACACTTGGGTTCAAAAAATCAGCTTTACAAGTAGGGCAGGAAGGGAAAGAATGAGCATTTATTGAGTGCCTACTCTATGCCAGGCACTGTGCTAATTGCCTTTCAAATATCTTATTTGATCCTCATAACAACTCTGGGACATAGGTGCTATTATTATCTCTATTTTACAGTTGAAGCAAGTGAGGCAAACAGAAATCAAGTGTCTTGCCCAAAGTTCACACAGCTAGCAAGTGTCTGAGGCTATATTTGAACTCAGGTCTTCCTGACCCCAGGCTCAGTGTTCTATCCACTGAGCCACTTACCTGCAGCCAAAGTAAATAAGTATGACATGGAAGTGGGGAAGGGGGGAAAGTATTACTGGACAGCAATACATCTGCCAAAGAGTGGGATCTGTCATGGGCTGCAAGTTCAAAATGAGTCAACAATGTGATCTGTCAGACAAGAAAAAGAATGAAAACATTAGCAGAGGAATAATGTCTAGGGCTAGGGAGGTAATAGTCCAACTGTATCTGGAATGATGGGACCCTTTCTGGGAGCCAATTTGGAGAAAAATCATCGATTAGCTGGAAAGCATCCCAAAGTGGGTGATAGTATGGTGAAACAGCTTGACTTCATGAGATTGGAGGATTTCATTGAAGGAAATGGAGACTTTTAGCCTGGAGACATCATAACCATATAGGGGGGTTGGGCTTATTCTGCTGGAGGCCGGAGGGCAGAACTAGGAGCAAAAGATGGAAGTTTTAGAACCCTAGGACGTACATGTAGAGCTAAATGGGATCACAGAGGTCATCTCTAGTTCAACCTGCTGCTTTGTAAAGCAAGCAAAGACTGGGTGGACATGTTAGGCTATGATACATGTGGAAGGGATTCTTAATTAGCTACAGGTTGAACTAGACATTCTCTGAGAGCCTGTCCAGTTCTGAGATTCTATGATTCTTGATCAAAACAAGTAATTCGGTTTGAGCTGTTTCATTCACTCATGGAGCATCTATTTGGTACCTACTACGCGCAAAGCTCTGAGCTTACTTTCTTGGTCACCATTATTCCCATCGCTTTTTCTCTTGGCAGAGGAAAATAAAGGCGCATATCTTTGTTTTGCTTTTTCCCTCTTGCTCAAACTTCAGAAAATATGGCATTTCCTCAAAAGGCAGGCTGGGTTACTTGTAAAAGTTCAGAACCTACCCTAAATCTA